AATGCTTCTCTCTTTCTCACCTAGCTAGGCCTCTCTTTCTCACTCGCTTTCTCCATCTCTTTTCCACTTCTCGAAGGGTCACATCAATCGGAGGCGGTGTCATAATTTTCACAGCAGGTGTCGTCGCTAATGATTTACAATGGGTTTTAGAGTTGGGGAGAAATGGATGGAGTTGCTCTGCACTTTGTTGCATCTTTCCGCTTCCCTCTCTGTCTCTCTCTCTCTATCTCTATCTCTCTCTCTCTCTATCTCTATCTCTTTCTCTGTGTCTCGTCGGCAAACAACAATAAAAATGTGAAAATCTAAATTCGATGTGGTGGACTTCGGTGTCGCTATCCGTTTGATGTTGATTCCAAAGACCCAATTCATTATTCATCAGTTTGCATTGTTTAAGGGAGTTAGGGGAGAGGGGCGGCTGATGTGCTGTGTGTGTGTGTGTGGGGGGGGGGGGGGGCGTTGCAGTGGCTAATTTGCCTTTAGGCTGGAATGGGATGCGTTCCAGACTTTGTTCGGGGGTTTCCAGCGCCACTGGCGCCAGTGGCGCCCCCTAGGGTGCATGAGTGCCAAACAAATTGTTAACTTTTGTGATACGATTCGATCGGGATTCGATCTTGATTCGAATTGGGGATCCGGTGGTTAAAAGGTTTATGGAAGGCATTTAAAGGAGGTTTGATCTAATGGAAAATGGTAAAGGGGAAAAGGTATTATCAGTATTTGTTTTTTTGTAATGATTAAACTAGAACAGGGGTGCCCAGAGATCTGACAAGTGATTCAAACAGTATAATCACAATGGAAATAATCTTCATATTGCATTGTTTAACTTAAATCTTGTCTATTTTATAGTTAAATACTTCGATTTTTAGTCATAGCTATGTTTATATTTATATATTTCATTTCTGGAAAATATATAAATCAGGGGACCCCTATGACCAGACTTAGGAGTTAGCAAGTGCCTCGGCCAGCTTGCTTAGAATTTAAACAATATACTAGCTATTATTTTGTACCTAAACCTATTTTATTAAAGAGCCTAATACTTCATTCATAGTCAGAACAATTTTACTTTACACTATATTCTTGAAATACATAGGTAATAATATAGGTTCTGGAGCTGGGATGCCCAAAGTCTTGTCTCAGAGGTCTTTAAAAGCCTCAGCCACTAGGTACAGATTGAAAACAATATACACTCTATAATTTTATAGCTAAATCTAAACTTTTTAAAATGTAATACCTTTTTTCTTAAAATATATTTTCTATACAATATAAAGCTTTGAAAGTTGTAATAGCTTCAAAACAATATGTTTAAATTTTGTTTTTTTGTAAGCTATGAAAGTAATGATATTTTAAGAAGAATGTGTTGCTATTTAGTTATATCTAAATCTAAACTATTTAAAATTAAATACCTAATTTTTTCAAAATATATTTTCTATACAATATAAAGCTTTGAAAGTAGTAATAGCTTTAAAAGAATATGTTTATTTTTTGTTTTGTTTTTGTAAGCTTTGAAAGTGATCATATTTTAAAAAGAATATGTTGCTATTTAGTTGTTTTCTATCTAACCAGCTCTAAATTTAATGGAATATCCTATGTTCCATATATATGTAAGTGAACAAAATGAATGTTTTTTTTAAAGCAGACTCATTCGATAGATTATCCTGCAAGTCGCAAAAGCGATCAAAAAGCCTGATCGATTAATCAAATCGAGTTGCATTTTAATTTTGTTTCTTTGCCCCAGACTCTGCTGACTGACTAACTAACTGACTGACTTGCCTGCCTCGATATCATTTTGTATAATTTTCATGCCACACATATATACACACACACCATACACACTCCATATACACACAGTCAGGCCATTACTCATACGCGCAGTTGCACGACGTTGAAATTGCTCCAATTAAGTGTGTGCTTTTTTTCGGCTTGGCTTCGTTTCATTTTGCTTCGTCTGTGTGTTTTTTTTTTTGGCTTTGGTTTTTGGCTTTCAGCTTTTTGGCTTTTGTCTGGGGCCAAAGTAGTTCGGTGGCTCGATTCCACGGGGGTAACATCACGATTCGAATGGGTGATGTCATTAGGCTGCCAAAGCACCTGTCCAGGGTCGGCGGGATGTTGCAGAGGTTGCAATTGAATAAGAAGCGGCAGCGACATAAACGTGCCACAGATCCGGAAAATAAGCAAAACACCATACAGTTGGGGTTAAAATAATGGTAACTAAAAAAAATTAAGGAATTTAAAGCTATTTTTGTACAACCAATTTAAAAAAGACTCCTTAAAAATTAATTCAACAAAATGTAATTGAAAACAAATTCTTTTTTAATTTAAAATCTCTACAAATTCTTTAGAAGTTATTGTATTTTTGAAAAACCTATTCTTGTAACCCTAAGTGTAAGAAAAGAGAGTCCCTGGTGGGCGGTTAAAGGGGATTCCCCCACTTTCATCCCATTCGAAAACTCCCGCCAATTCTGGATTGGCCAATTACCGCTCGAAATAGCAGCTTCCGCGGAGGCTCTCTGATCCCGATCTCTGGCTGATTTTGATTGCCGGTTGCCAGCAAGTCCACTGCTCCTGCACCACTGCTGCACCACCACTGTTGCACCACCACCTTTGCTGCACCACCACCCTCTTTGCCAGGAAAAAAAACCAAACGGTAAAAGCTCGAAACTAGGCAACTGTAAATCGCTAAAGTCGGGCCAAGTCAGTAAACTATTAACTTAATTTTTTTGGACAACTCGACGAGGCCACGACTACTGGGCACAAGAGGCACTTGGAAAAAATGTAGTGTTTAGCTTTAGAGAAAACTATTTAAATTTAAATACGGGATTTTGAGAGCAAAAAAGATAGATAAAGGTAGATGCAGAAGAGATATATTTTATATTTAATAATACAAATAATATTTAAATTAAATAGGAATAAATGTTATGGTTTTGGTGTTAGTTAAATTGTAATAACTTCAGAAAATTTCCAAATTTTTAATTTTTTATTTAAAAAACATCCGTAAAAGTAATGGATTCCCCTAAATGAGGGAAATGTATAGTATCGATACAAAAATATTGTACATTTAGAAGTAATATTTATATGTTGTTCATTAAATTAATCGATTAATAGATCGGTATTGTAATATTATCTTATTTCAACCAAAAGCGTGAAAAGTAACAGAAACTCTTTTAAAAGAAAAAGTTGATACCATAATATTAAAATTTCAGTATCGATATTAATTGTTTTCCTAAAATCAAATGATTTATTTATTGATTATTAAATTGCACCTTATTTTTACCACAAATATTCAATAATTTAGTAATTATTTTGAGGTCTCCTCACTTGCATTATATAATTTTCTCTCCCTCAAAAAAAAGAAAGAAAAACAATTAGCTCAAAAGGAAAACTTCATGGCGATTGATTTTCGATTAACGATTAAGTTTGACTTGCTGTGTATTGGCCAAGTTGATTGAACAACTTTTACGGTATTGGCCAAAGTTGCTTAACTTGTTGTTGACAATTCTGGCCTTATTGTTGTTGTTGTTATTGTTGCTTTGAAGTGGTTCTGTTTGCTGTTTTGCGGCAACAACAAATCAAGCATCTGGCATCCATGAAATGTGTTTGATGAGGATCGGTAGACCACAGATTGGAGAATCCTTCCCGAATCCTGAAGCATCATCATCATCGACCTTCGTCAATTGGCCAACAGCAATTTCGACGGCAAGGAAATGAGGGTTGAAAGGTTGAAAGAAAGAGGGGGAAATCGCTAGACAAAAAGCGGAATTGAAAATTAGTTTTGGCCAAGTCTGTGAGCCACCAAAAAGGAAGAATTCACCGTTTGCGCCGCCGCCTTTTTAATGACTTCCTCCCGACTCCGTTTTTGAGGATTATAAATGTCTGTGGGAAACGAGGGTCTTTGCCAGCAAGTCGATTGAATAATACTCTAGACATACAAGGGGAAAAAAATCTTAAAATAGCTGTCAAAATTTTTAATTATAAGGTCTTAATTGGTTGTTTAAATAAATCATAATTTTATACAATTTATAGTAGTATATTTTGTTGAAATATGTGAAATTGTGGGAGATGTAATATCTGTTAAGCGTACTTGAACATAATATATATTATAAGACTTTAACTGATGTATTTGGGGAATGAAATGTTTTTGAAATTTCAAAAAAAAATATATAAGAAGTATAAATAAGTATTTAGCACATTAAACATTAATTTTCAGAATTGAAATTATATTGTAGTGCCTAAGTATAGATAGTTTTTATATTTATTTTAAAAGAGTAATTATTTTTAGGCTTTTCAGGAGTTCATTATATGATTTCAAGTCTTTAAAAAGCTGAAATGAACAATTTTCTTGATTTGAAATAATTTTAATTCTATTAAAAGTTATTATTTATAATTTTTTTAATTTAAAATACATCCCTAGTCCCTTAAACTCATTCTAAAACCGAAGAGTATCTGTTAGCGGCAAGGAGACCATAAAAAAGGCTCGTTCGCAGTGCTAAAAGGGAATTTCTTGAGTTTTGATTTACGTGGCGAATTAATTTTGTGGGCTGCTGTTCCCCTTACCCCTCCCTCTCACCCCCTTAACCCTTTTATAATTTTTTGGCAGACATTAGAAACCGTTGGCCACAAAAAGCAAAAAACAAAGCCAAACATGGCAGGAAGCGAAAGTGAGCTCGACTAATTCGCATTTAAGTCATTTGCAAAATTCACGCGAACAAGAGTTAATTAAGAAATGCAAGCATGGGAAATATATATTAGCCAAGAAAATATATAGAGAGAGTGTAAAGGATTTTTGGATAGATAAAAGAAAAATATAATTAATAAATAAACTAAAAAGGAATAACATGTAAGAGTAATAAAAGGGTTTCAAGCTCAAGAAATCCTGCCTCAAAGAAATACTTTTAAAATTGAATAAATCTATTTAATTTGCTATAAAATATACTATTATAAATTTAAGTTTTATTCTTTATTCACCGTATATTTATCCTTATTGTTTTTGCCCTTTGTGATTCCAGGACCATCCCAGCTTGAGAGGAACCCCCTTGGCCATGCTGGCCGCTCAGTGCAACAAACTCTCCAACAAATCCCCGCCACCCTTGGCCGATGCCGCCGTGGGCAAGGGCTTCCATCCTTGGAAGAAGAGTCCCAATTCACCGGCGGCGGGCAGCAGCGGTGGTTCCTCCGGAGGAGGAGGAGGTGGTGGTGGCGGTGGCGGTAGCAGTGCCGGACAGCATTCACCCTGCGCCATCTCGGCGGCCAGCTCATCGAGCTCCAGCGGCAGCACCAGCGGTGGCGGTGGCAACGGTGGCGGTCAGTCCTCCAGGAGTCTGTCCTCCAGTGCCAGCACCATGGTGAACATCACAGCTAGGTAAGCAGACAGGCGGCGCACAGCGGTTCTCAAAGGATGCAAGGTCACAGATGGAGGATCTAGACTCTAGGAGGACACCTCCCTATATCCTTGACATCCTTTCGGGATCGCTGTGCGCGTACAGCCGCAGCAGCTGGCCCTATACGACTCGCGAGTAATTTCAGCATCTATCCTTACAGTCGACCCCTGGCCTCCTCCTGCGCGGCGGTGGGCGGAGGTTCCTCGGGCAGCTCCTCCTCCGCCTCCGCCGGATCGCAGTCATCCGCCTCGGCAGCAGCGGCAGCAGCAGCTTACGGCGGTGACTTGTACTTCCCAAACACCTCGACCTCGACCACGATGGATAATCATCATATGCACCAGGGCCTGCTCGGGAAGGTGGAGGCCGGCGCAGCTGCATTTGGCGGCGTCTATTCACGGCATCCCTATGATTGGCCCTTCAATGCCGTCACCCACAAGGAGGCGGCGGCGGCCAGCGTGAATTCCGGTTGGTGGGACATGCACAGTGCCGCCGGCTCTTGGCTGGATATGGGCGGTGCCGGCATGCACTCCACAATGGCCAACTATGCCAGCGAGAACTATAGCTCGGCGCTGAGCCACTCCCTGCTCGGCTCTGGGCAGCATCTGCTCCAGGACACATACAAGAGCATGCTGCCCGGCCAGGGTGTGGGCGTTGGTGTTGGCATGGGTGTGGGCGTTGGCGGTGGCTTGGGTGGCGGTCTCGGTGGCTTCTCGCTGCCGCATAGCTCACCATCCGCTGCAGCGGCAGCGGCGGCCACAGCGGCCGCAGCGGCTGGGGGGTCGCCACAGGGTGGCTCCCCGTCGACGCCGTCGCCAAGGTCACAGCGAAGGTATGCGGGCAGGGCGACCTGCGATTGCCCCAATTGCCAGGAGGCAGAACGTTTGGGCCCAGCGGGCGTACATTTGCGTAAAAAGAACATCCATTCGTGCCACATAGCCGGATGCGGCAAGGTGTATGGCAAGACGTCACATTTGAAGGCTCACCTGCGGTGGCACACCGGCGAGCGTCCCTTTGTGTGCAACTGGCTGTTCTGCGGCAAGCGCTTCACGCGCTCCGATGAGCTGCAGCGCCACCTACGGACGCACACCGGCGAGAAGCGCTTCGCTTGCCCCGTGTGCAACAAGCGCTTCATGCGCAGCGACCACCTGGCCAAGCACGTGAAGACGCACAATGGCACGGCTAACCACCAGGCCAACGGGCTGAAGAAGGGCTCCTCGGAGTCGTGCAGCGATTCCGAGGAGGCCGCCAACCAGTCGGGCGAGTCCAACGGGCTGGGCGGCGTGGGCAGTGGCCCTCAGACGGGCGGGGCCGGCGGCGGCGGGGGTGGCGTTGGCTCAACTGGACCGGTAACGGGACCCACCTCATCCACATCCTCTGGCCAATCCGGCACCGGTTCTAGCTCCAGCTCGGGTTCGAGCGGTGCTGCCGGTGGCGGCTTAGCCGGTGGCGGTACTGGTGGTGGGGGTTCCGCTTCCGGATCCGGTTCCGGCAGCCATCCCGGCACTCCGACCTCGCTGCACGCGCACAGCGCCAATGGCACGTCCAGCAGCCTGCTGGGCGGCGGTCTGCACCTGGCCACGCCGCACCAGATGGTCGCCGCGGGCGGTTCGCCGGTGATGCTACACCAGCAGCAACAGCAGCAGCAGCAGCAACAGCAGCAGCAACAGCACCTCCAGCAGCAACATCACCAGCAGCAGCAACATCAGCAGCAGCAACACCAGCAACAGCAGCAGCAGCAACATCACCAGCAACAGCAGCAGCAACATCATCAGCAATTTGGCCAGCAGCAGCATCCCCACGCCCATCACCTGCACCACCATTCGCACCATCCGCACCACCTGGCCGGTGGATCACCTGGACTTGATCCCAGTTCCCTGGTGGACATAAAGCCACCAATGGTTTGAGGGTCGCTGGGACCCTTCCTATTCACCAACTGAGCGGGATTGGGTTCCAATTAAACGAAATATACAACATTAAATATAGCACACACACACACCACATAGGGAGTTTCTATATATCACACACTACACACACACACCACACACACACAGCTTTGTGTAGAATTTTGGCGGTTGTACATATAAGCCAGCCGATACAACAAAAATATCTGTACATATTCGAGGCCCCGCTCTATGTGTCTAAATAATAATCACAGGAAAACATATTGCTTGTAGCTTAAGCCATCGTAAACCTAGATCGAAACCATTTTTTTTAAATGCATTTTTTTTTTACTAGCCCTATGGATATGTAATTTTTTTCATAGGTCCTAAGCGTAAATATATATAAATATAAAAATACATCGTATATTGTACGACATTAACCAACAGAAAAGCTTCGAGCACCACAACTCTAACTATTTGTTGAACAATTATGCAATTCTAAAAAAAAGCAAAGGAAACCTAAATATTTGAATAGATATATATATTATATGTATCTTATATATATGATATATTATATATATGAGATAAATATGATATATGTAGTAATGAAAATGCGAAAAACAATGGGGGGTATAAAAAACAAAACATCATAAATATATTTCTAGTCCAATTATGAAGTGTGAGCGAACCAAAATTGTAAAAAGCAAATATTGAGGGAACCGGAAAAGAAAAGGGGGGCCTCTGGTACTCCTGTAAATTAGCGTATAAATATGTATGTTTGTATCCGGTACACATTTATTTCCGCTAAAAAAAAAACTAACCCACTGAAACGACACGAGATACAAGATACAAGATACAAGATGGAGGAGCTCGAGGAGATGGAGGACCTTAGACGCTAGTGCTTTAACCCAACCTAACTTAAATCCCAAATCTAAAATAAATGTGTTTTGTTGTTTTTATTTGAACTAGGCTTAGAGCAGATACTTAGAGATACTTAGCACACACACTCACACACACAGCACACACATGAATGCAACTCAATTTGAAGCAACAACAAAACCCAACAGCCGGCAAACAAAATAAACGACAACTAGTGTTATACATATATATATATAATTAATTATATATATAAGGCTTGGCAAAAAAGTTCTCGGATTTGCGAGCCGCATCAGCAATTTATTATCTTCGATTACTACTATTTTTTTTTTTTTTATTTGTCTATGTAAATTAATTATTTAAAAATACGAATAAACTATTTAAATTTCATTCAAAATAAATGTACAACAAAATGCTTCAGTCGGACTTATTTGCAAGGTGGCGGTGGGGTTTCAAGGGGATTTTTTGGTCTAAATCAATTTGACTGGATTGTATTTGAGTGTCTACACCTGGAGAAAAATTTATGGATTATGACTTGATATAAAAATAAATTTTAGAAAAAATTATTCTAGGAATGTAATGCTTTTGGATTTGCTGAAAGTTTCAAGGTGTTGTATTTTGTGTGGCCCAGGTAGAAGTCTATTAAAATATGTACAGAATAAACTAAATATTATTTTCTATTTAATAATTTCAATAAAAATATCTTGAAAATCCTTCCACTTTTCCTAGGTTTAAGCAGAGTGTCTGTCCAAGGATATGTATTTGAAAATCATAAGTCTTAGCCCAGTAAATCCTAGTTCTTTATATCTTACTTCTGTTTATATATATATTTCTATAAATTTTTTCCAGTGCATCTATATCAATCGTTTTATCTGCAATAAGCGTAAAATATGTTTCTCTGATTGAGGGTGGTTAGCCAGATTTTTGGGGATGCTGTTGGGCTTCCTGTTGGTCCTTTAGCTTACCATTACCATGACCATCATCTCGCCACCTCCTCAACTTTAGCTGGTTGTTAACGACTTTTAGCGCTCTTGATCTTGGTAGTATGTCGGGGGGAGAGAGGTTAAAAGGTCAACCCTCGTTGTGATGTGAGTGTGTGAGTGATTTAAATTTTATTACCGTGGATTTGATGCACCCTCTTGGAACCCTCTTGGGTTCGACTGGGAGAACCCTCGGAATCTGGGAATCCTGGAACAGATTGCCCATGAAGTGGGTGCAGATTGTTTTTATATATATGGACTGGATTATGCTGCGCAGTTATTTCTATGTGTTTTATTTTTTTCCCCCCCAAATGTTTTGACATTCCCGGTGGCTGGGGGTGTGGTCGCCCAAGGGGGCGGTAAAAAGGGGGCGGCAATGGGTGTGGCACCCGGGGGGTAAAACAATTTGCCAGGGCAATGAATTGAAGATTCACTTTTTTTTCTGGGCGGCAAATGAATAAAAGGGAGAGCTTTGCATTAGAATGAAGTCAGGGAATAACGATGCTCAATTCAAGTTCATTTAAAGCATTAGGGAATTAATATTGAATGTATCTGTAAGATACAAATAATTTTGGGGGAATATTAATATATTTTAGAGAGAGACTCAAGTTGAATATATTGTACAGTGTGTATATTCTTTAAAGGTGATCGGGTAAAACAAAATAGAATTTTATGTAAATTAAAGATAGTATAAGACAAAGGCAAGGCTTTTTTAAATAATAGTTTTAATTATTAAAATTATTATAATTATTTCTACAAGTTTCTATATATCCATTTGATTACGAAAGTAACTGAAGACAAGTTTTGGTCTTATTTTAAGATTTATTATTCTATATTAAAGTTTTGCTTTGTTTGAATAAAACTGACAAATCTCTTTTCTACAATTTTAAGTCTTATATTAAGATTAAACAAGAAAAGAAGCTAGCTATGGCACGCCGTAGTTTGTATTCCCTTGCAGATTGAAATCATTAGAAATTAATACAATATAAATTATATAGTAATGGCTGCATTAATTTCATTCACTGTTTTACATTTTCCTTTATATTATATTATATAGTAGACCGATTTTCATAATATTTTATACAAAAATCTAGAGTAATATATAGTGGCTATATATTAAATTTGGTGAAAATCTGTTGAAAACTGGAAAAGTTACGATTTTTTTTCTTAACATTCCCCGATCGTTCCTATGGCAACTATATACATATATATGTATATATATAGTCCACCGATTTGCCATGCTCCGATTTATATACTAGTAAAATTATATAGACGAATAGTTCCTTAGTTTCATTTAAATAGCTTTAAATTTGTTCCATAACAAATCTCGCACATCCGTGCATATGATTCCCAACTGGTTCTAACATCCCCGGAACGAAGTGACTGCTGCCAGCCCAGTCTCAGATATGTGTTGTGTTACAAAAGTTGCAAGTCATTGTTTACAAGTGTTTAAAGTTAGTAACTGAACATACATCCTTACTGATTATAGTTACTTTCTGATCATGCATACTTACTAGATATAGATACTTACTGTTCAGAGTTACTTAGTGTTCATAGATACTTACTGGTCATAGATACTTATTGTTCATAGTTAATCACTGATCATAGTTACTTAATGTTCATAGTTACTTGCAGTTGAAAGATACTCAATGATCCTCTATTGTTCCTATGGCAACTATATACATATGTATATATATAGTCCACCGATTCGCCATGGTCCGATTTATATATTAGTAAAATTATATAAACGAATAATTCCTTGGTTTCATTTAAATAGCTTAAATTTGTTCCAAAACAAATCTCGCACATCCGTGCATATGATTCCCAACTGGTTCTAACATCCCCGGAACGAAGTGACTTCTTCCAGCCAGGTCTTAGACATGTGTTGTGTTACAAAAGTGCAAGTCATTGTTTATTAGTGTTCAAAGTTAGTAACTGATCATACATACTTACTGGTTATAGATACTTACTGATCATAGTTACTTACTAGTCATAGATACTTACTGTTCAGAGTTACTTAGTGTTCATAGATACTTACTTCTCTTAGTTACTTACTGATCTTAGTTACTTAAGGTTCATTGATACTTACTGTTCAAAGTTAATTACTGATCATACATACTTACTAAGCATAGAGATTATAGAAATGTCTTGGTAAATTAAAATATATAAATTATAGAAATCACTTTATTAGTCCCTCAGTCTTGCATAATTCTAACCAGGAATTTATTTTGGGACATAAATCAAGTGGCAACTTAAAGTACTAGTGTTTATTCCTGGAAGGATGCTCAAGTGCGTGGCATTTAAATGAGGCAACTCTCTCCCTTGAATCCTTGAATCCTCTGACTTCTGTTTTCTGCCTTTTGCCTTTTTCGGTCCGGGTGTTGTGTGTCACATGGTAGCCGCATCCTGCTGTGCTCTTATCCTTGCCACCCCCATCCCATGCCCCGCAAATAGTCGGATTTCAAAAGAGCGCCAGAGCAAGTTGTAAATTAAAATAATGAAAAATACAAACCCATACTGAGACGGCAGCAGAGAGAAGGATGGAGAGGCTGTGAAAAAAGAGATAGCTGGCGACATAAAACAAAGGCAAGGACATGCGTTTGGCATCGGCTTGCAAAGGACATGGGTTGGTTCTCTCTCTCTTTCTCTCTATATACATATATTATATATATGTCTTCTTGTATAGTGGGAAAAGAGTATAAATCAGAGGTGAGGTGCTGTGGCAACCTCGTTGGCGGATGATAAACGAGCGACACTCCGGCGCTGACAAAATCATTAGCAGCAAACTTTAATTAAAATATGATTTTCACACATTTGAGCGGAGTTAGGCGCCAGAAAGGGGATCTTCCTCGCCGGCGGATCCCATTCCCAATCCCTCGAAGGAGACGAGTGTCAACACACACAGGCGAGAGATGCCAATGGCATCTTAAGAATCTTTTAATGGCTGCCACGCCCCTCGCCGTGCCAGTCCCCAGTTCACAAATCTTGTTCACACATTGTTTTCATTAAGCAAAAAAATGAAACGCACACAGTAAATATTTGCTACCCTGTAAATAAATATTTAAAAAATATGGGGTATGATAAGATATCATAAATAAGAAATCATATCAAAAATGATTGCATTATTTAGCAACATTAAAACATTGATATATTTATCTTAAGGTAAAAATAATAATATCTTTGCCTTAAATATTGAACCAAGATATTTATACATATTTATATATTTTCATCTACATCTAACATAAGGTTCCTAATATCACTTACCAAAATCAATATCACATCAAAAGATTCTTAAATCAAAATTTTAATTATTGAAAACTATCAAATAACGTTTCAAATTAATATCAAACAGAATACGGATTAAACGCTGAAATGTATGCTACATTAAAATGTAGAATATTATCCATGTTATTAAAACTACTTATACAAGTGTTATTTATGTATCTCTTTAACAGAATATATATAATATCTTTTGAAATATTGAGAACAAATA